TTATTTATTTATTTTTCTGTATATAACCAAAATATGGTAGAAATTTTAAATATTAGAAATATTACAATTTAAAATAACCGTTTTCAAATTTAATATCTTGTAAAACGTAACTTATTCCTGTGATGACAAAGCTGAATTTTCATCATCATTACCTCCAGTCTTCAGTGTCACATGACCCTTTGGGTTTGTTTGATTAGTAGAAAGCTCAAAAGAACAGCATTTATTATAAATAGAAATCTTTTGTAAATGTCTTTACTGTCACTTTTGATCAATTCAATGTATCCATGCTGAATAAAGGTTAATTTCTGTCTTACTGACCCTAAACATTTGAATGATAGTGTATAATAATGTTTTTTATAATTATATTTTCATGACAACTAAGCATATTTCCTCAGATTCTCAAAATAATAATAAACAAGTATCACAATGATTGGTACATTTGATAAGTATTTTTTCCCTACTGCTTCAGGATTGAAATATAGCACAAGATATGTAACAGTGCAGCTCAGCCGTACAGGGCTTAAGCATCATGTGAGCTGCATTCATGCGCACAGCATTAACATCTTAGACACATGAGTCAGAAACAAGAAAGCCAGGCCTTTGATAGAACTCATGGGCTCTTTTCTCTGTCTGACCTACCAAACGTCAATGCTGTGATCACACTTTACACTACCTTTTTACCTTTAAAATAAGGAAGAGAGGAATAAAAATATACCATCTCTCTACAGTTAAAAATATTCATTTTCCTGGCTTTTTCCTTTGTACATTTCACAGAGGTCAGAGCTCTCAGATCTGGAAAGTCAGTGCAATAAAGGGAGAAAAGGAAGAAACAAAAGAACTCCGAGAGATTTCCCGAAGGACAGAGGGAGTGTGAAAGCCCATTAGATGTCTGGCAATGCAGCATGTCTGCTGAATTAAACATCCACTGAAAGAGTGAGGACAAATGAAGAGGCAGATCCTGAGGAGAGCAGAGGAAGGCTGAGGGGGAAAAAAGCCGTTACTGTGACTGTTAGTTTCTGATGGGATGATGGAGATGTTAAACAAAGAGATCTGCCAGTCATGGTGTCTTTATCCAGTCTCATGAAGTCCTGATGAGAAAACCAGAGCTTTTGTTAGATTTGTTGAGTGACGCTGTTAAAGCAAACATATGTTCTGTAGCCACAAACCTGCAGGGCCCTGCTGTCCACCATCTGCTCACTTCTCTGACCAGATCTCCTCTCAATCTCGGTTTGTTTTGACTGAGGACTGAATCGGTTCTCAATCTGCTGACAAAAATAAATAAATCACACAGCAAAAATAAACCCCCAAGACTCACATAATGACAGACCAAAACAAAACCACAGACAATCATCCCAAAATTATTGAGATTCTCAATTTAAACACACACACTCCCCTCTTCCACCATCTGAGTGATGCTGAAGGATCTGTAAGGGGACCCGCTTTGACTCAAAGACCCATTCTGAGTGGCATCTGAAGACTTGTGCTGAATCTTTCCCTGTAAGAGAACCAAACTGAATAAGCAGAAGTGAAAAGCAATATGACATCTGGAAGAGTCAATCAGATGCAGCACCGAAAACCCACAATCTTTCAGTGCAATGCAATCCAACATTTCCTAAAAACCAAAAAGTGGAAGGTGCAATTTTTTCAAATCTTTCACAACACAAAAGAATCTGTGGAAGCAACAGAATTATAGTGCTGTCGACCCCTTTATCCCCTGCAGAAAAGCATCCCTTCAAATCTGTGCCCAAAAGAAATGCTCATACTGTACATTTATGAATCCAGCTGTTGGCATAAAGCAGCGTGGGTAAAAATCTCTGCTCTGACTGAACATCCCTGTCTGTGGATGTCAAAAATTGCAGTATGACATACATTGCAATTTAATGCCATACTAACTTTAACCACAGAGTGGTACCATTGTGCACACTACTGAAAACCACAGAGACATTAAAGCAGCAACGTAAATATTTAGGTTTTAAATACTTTCTCCCCCCCAGCTTAATAAGCTGAAACAACTACTAGAAGGTGGTTCTGTAGGTTGAAACAATGAGGCTCTGTGGTGCCAAACATTGTTCTGTTTGCAGAGCTTGCCTCTCTTTGGTGTGTGGGTGCAATTAGGTGAGATGTAAGCTTCAGAAATTAAATAAAGCTCATAAAATAGCTGCAAAGAGGAAATCGAAGGAAAATGGCTCAAAATTGACATTTATTTAGCTGAAGCTACTTCTTTAACAATAATGACAAAAATACCAATATATGCCTTTTCTATTTAGGTGGCTATAGATACACAGCACCAACTGAAGCTCCGCTCAGTTTGATTAAAGTGTATCTGCAGGGTTTGTCAAATCCAAATTAAGGCTTTTTAAGACCCTTTTAAAACCTGCACAAATAAAAATAATACTGTATGTCCATTTGGAACAAACTGATATAATCTCCAAATAAACCATTAAGAAACTCTCAAATCTCATCTTTTGCTTAATTAAACAGGCTGCAGCACACATTTAATGAGGACTTCATAATGCTAATTAGCAATAGAGGGTAACTGCAAATTTAAAATACTCAAAACATGTTTTATTCAATATGTAATGAAAATGGCTTATTATAATTTATTACCGTAATATATATAGTCACCAACATGTGCACAGATGAATTATCCATAACATGCATTTAGAAAATAGATATTTTGATTTTCCATTTCATGCCACTTTAAGCTTATGACCTTACATTTTATAGAACAGAATTTAAGATTAGGAACCCGCAAGTTTCCTGAGCAGGCCAACACAGCAACATTGGCTCTTAAGGGCAGGATTATATTGTTTGTCGTTATTTATCACAGCATTTTGTGATGCTAGAGGCACTGAAATTACACACTTCAGCTTTAAACTCATCATACCACCAAATCAGCTTGAGTTACCATAAAGTGCTTCTATGATACATCAAAAGTGTCCGTCTCACATACATAATGTATGGCGTTACACAACAAAACTGACAGACAGCTGGTTGTTTGACCTCTTTACACAGAAAGATTCAAGCAACAACTATTGCCCATGTTAATGATCAACACACACTCATAGCAGAACATGAACAGTAAGTGGAGATAATGGATAAATCATGTTTCAGTCTCAGGGGGAAACATAGAATGGATTCAGGTTCATGTAGAGCTACTTACTCTGCTTGCTGTTTTGCTGGTCTCTGTCCGGGACACCGTTTCAGACCGAAGCTGCTCTGACTCTAAATAAACATGTAAAACATGTATAACCAGCTAGAACAATAACAGACACACAGCCTTTAAATGAAACAGTCAATAAAGATATAAAACGACTATAACTTAGTGATGGGCCACAATGGTCAACAAGACATTTAGTTTTTAGAAGTTAGTTTAGATAATTTTGAAGCCACTTC